GAATATTAATGTTCATTATATAGTATAAAGTGAAAATAGGTTAAAAACAATATGTAAATATATTTTTGTTTAAAAACATGTGTTTAAATATGTATATTACATATACACACGTGTAGATAAAGCAAATAGTCAGTGTTTTCTGACATGAATTAAATGTATATTATGAACATTAATCAAACCAATGTCAATCTTTTCAAATGAAGCAGTCCCTAAAATATGTGAACATATAAAGACATGTTTAGAAAGCACTTTTGCTCACAAAACTTGATACTTTAAATGGTATCTTTAAAATGTATTTTTATTGATCTCAGAGAGAAATGGAGAGGGGGAGAGAGAGAAACATCAATGATGAGAGAGAATCATCCATCAGCTACCTCCCACATGCCCCACACTGGGGATCAAGCCCGCAACCTGGGCATGTGCCCTGACCAGGAATTGAACCGTGACCTCCCAGTTCATAGGTCAACGCTCAACCACTGAGCCACGCCGACCGGGCTAAATGGTACCATTTAGAGTATTACATCATGCTAAAGAATGTTGAAAGCAACACTATTTAATTATTTGTTGTTAAATATAACGCCCTTAACTAAGCATTCTTCTCTATAAGTAGCTCCTGCTAGCAACAAGCATTACGAAGGAAAATCTGTTATTTGTACAAGACAGATATAGCACATAATTAACTCATTAAGAATACAGTTCAACCACAGTAGCTAGTTTATCACATCAACATCAGTTGGAATGTACTGTGCTTGAAATTAATTTATATAATAAATATCAATCGCTTTACTGTTTACACAGAAGAGCAGTCTCATTTTTCCTGCCCCTCAGCAGTCTATGATAAGCCAGGATAATTTTATGAGCCTTGCAACCCTGAACTTCAAGGAGCCATTTTTCCCCCCAATCACCTGTTCAGATTCACTTGCTTAGAGACAGTCAGCAAGTTTCTAAAGGAAAAAAACAATGACAACTGTCTGCGGACAGTGACCTCCCTCACTCGGCGGCGTCCTCTCCATCCCCAACTGAGTGAGGATGTGGCCTTGCCCAACCAGAGGCACGAGAACCATGAGCTGGGCCAGGCTAACCCGCCGGGGAAGGACGCCAGCGAGGTCGCAAAGCCAGGGCCCTGAAGGGCAGACCCCCGCCTGCTCCGAGGGGAGGTGCGTGTTGCAGCAAGCGCTCAAGGACACGGGGAGCTTCCAATCCCCATGGGGGGGGGGGGTGCGGGGTGCGGGGAGCCTGCCATCCAGAACACACTCTAGTGTATTCATCCCATGAGTCCCTCACCAGGTCCAGTGCGTGTACCTTCACGCGAATCCTGGCCCAACAGACTCCCTGAGCCACACGTACACGATACCTGTTTCCACAAGGCACCAGCCGGAGGGGAGTGTGAACAAGTCGATGCCGGTTTTGCTTTCACCGAACAGTTATAAATCATGCCCGCCGAGAATCGGGCCTCCCAATTCGAGAATCAGAAACACAAAATGGAGGCCTGCACCCAGCGGTGGGATTGGACTGTTGTTAACATAAATGACAAGAAGGGCTCCATCAACTGCTACCCCAGTGCACCAGCTGGCATCGCAGGGAACCACACTAAGCCATTTCTACAAGTGGCTGAAGCCAGAAGAAATAAGGCAGGTTCTGTCGCAGGCTTCTCGGCGAGAATTCCCTTTAAAACAAACAAACAGAAAAATCTCGACTCTCAGCCCGCCAGGCATGTGCTGGGCGGGTACGATATCACTGTGGATCACACACAGCTGGCACTCCTTCTCTTCCCAGGACGGGAGTGCAATGCCTGTTCCTGACCAGTTCTCCTACTTTCACAGGGAAACAGCGCCACCTTTTGGTCCCAAGCAAAAGCCTCCAGCCTGCCAGCCTCCGAAACCTCCTTTTTCCAGTTAAATCACTCAGAGAGGCCACTGGATTTCACATCACAATGATCCTAGGAATATCCTGTCCCTACACAAATGCATAAAACATGAGCATCAGAGGTTGCCTCCAAGATGCAAAATTTCTAAATAATTCAAACTAATTCCAAACATATACACTCTAAGTCTTCAATATAATAACTTCCAATCAACACTTCATTAAACGCATTTTACCAAATCCAAGTAGGTCAACCAGTGGATACATTTTAAATGTAAAAGAAAACCCCTTTTATATAGCATTGTTACATTTCAAAATTGATTTTTTAAAACGCATCACATTTTAAATGTACCTATTAATTTAATAGTTGGCGATATGGTATTAGCGGCAGATTCCCAGTTCAAGGAGGCTGTCATGTATGAACACACACAGTACGTTCCTGGGCTACTTACACCAATGACACAATGTCACCACGTTGGACTTCAAAGTTCCTCACTTTCCAGTGGTTCAGAAGCACCACGTCAGACGACTGGCTCCCTCCAGGATTCAACGAGGGCTGCAAACAGGGAGAGAGACACATCCGTCATGCGAGTTTCTCCATCTCCATGGCTCCTGCACGTCTTAGCTCTGTGCAGTGCAATAACACATCTCCAACTCAGTCGCTTTCAGCAAAGTGCTGCTCTAACACAACTGCGAATGATGAGTTTCCGGAAGGCCACCGGGGTTCGTCACGGGGGAACCAGGAGAAAATGGAAAGGGAAAATGTGGGTGTTCAAATGTCTCCTAACTCCAGGAAAGAGGCGTGGAACGCCTGCGGGAGGACTGAGGAGGCAGGAGGAAGAAGCGAGTCACCCTCCCAAGAGAAGACAGGGAGGAGCGAAGCCCACAGCGGTGGTGGCACTGTGGCACCTGGAAAAGAATGATCGCAAATGGGCCCGAAGAGGCCCCGGAACAAGGGGAGGGAGCAGAAGACACAGACACGCCAGCTGAGCTTGTCCACCAGAGGCTTCGGGGCTCTTAGACGTCATGAGGGGGAGCATCCATTTCTGTGGGGGGAGGGGCCAAACCTCAACCGAGGCTCCCCCTTCGCCAATGGTGGCAGCGGGAGAGGATGACACAACCAGAGCACCAGGATGGACGCCAGGAAGACAGTGGGCGCCAGACCACGGCCAGTCCCTGGACAGAGTGCCCGTCTCTGTCCTTAAAGATACCTGGAATCAGCTGTCGAGTTTCTACAAAGCAGATGTGGGCACCACTGGAAATTCGGGGGGGGGGGGTATCATGACCTTGTTTTTGACTCCCCGGGCTTTCCGTGTCCACACCTACCAGTTATCCTGGGATAGCTCAGGCAGACCCAGGGCTTCTACAACTCCCTTACGGGTGACGCCTAAACATCTCCATCTTCAGTTGGTAATCCCTGCTAATCGTTTCACTTGACTGTGAAATAAAATTCAATGCAATCGGGTAAGATTTTCCCACCTGGCCAGTGTGGCTCAATGGTTGAGCGTCAACCTAGGAACCAGGAGGTCACAGTTCAATTTCCCTGGGTTGCAGGCTCAATCCCTCGTAGGGGGTGTGCAGGAGGTGGCCAATCAATGATTCTCATCTTTGATGTCTCGCTCTCTCCCTTTCTCTCTGAAATCAATAAAAATATATTTTAAAAATAAAATTTTCAATTTCCTACCAAAAAATAAAAGTTTTCTTCCTTATTTTTTCACATTCTATATACCATCTTCCCAGTCAACCAGCTTAAAATCATGGTTATTATTTTTACTTCATAGCTAACCAGTCACAAAGCTAAAGGGTTGTTTTTTATTCATAACTTCTTTCACAAAACAATAATGACCTCTACTACCTACACACCAATATTTCCTGTTCTCTGTGTTTTTAAAATTCTGTCTATAAGCAACTGTATTAATTTCACATCCACTATATTGATTTTATAACCTAATAAGTTGCAGTCCAGAGTGCTAAACTCATAGTTTTAGATGACTCTTCCTCAACCATTGTCCTATGAAGGTTGCTTTCTTGCCCCAGAATTTTCTACCTTTAGTTCATTCATCTCTGTCTTTTGAATTCTTTTCCTAGAAAATCTCATCAATATTCTCAATTGCAAATACTACCCATATCCCAATGGCTCATCAGTCAGCACCTGGAAGACATGTTGAATTTTTATAAAGGAAACAGCAGAGTTGTCTCTTGCCCTTCCTCTCCTCCACAAGGTGAACTGAACCCTCCCCTCCCCCCTAACCCCCGCCACCCATGCCCCCTAGCAAGGCTAGTGAAGGCCAATGACAGTCCTGGAAACCTGCTCATGGGAATCCGCCTACACACGACTCCTTCACTCAGCACAGGCAGAAATCACGTCTTACCCGTCTCTGTGCGCCCAGGAGAGTGGCTGGGAAACAGTCCTGATAAACTGTAAAGTCTGGAAGAGGAAAGGTCCTTGAAAAGCACCTTAAATAAGATGGTCTGTCAGCAGTGTACCTTATCCAAACAACGTATACGTCCCTTTCCATGAAAACACATCCCGGATACGTCTAGTCAGAAAACTTTTTGGTTTCGCATCAAGTTAGGCCATTTAAGGACTGGGAATGAAGTTGAGCAGGGCTTTCTTACTATCCATGATGAAATAAAATGAATCACAACAGAATGTCTTCTTTACTGTTCACTTATGAATATGAACAAGTGAATACGACTAACACGTATCATGAAGAAAGCTTTCTTGAATTGGAAAACTAGTCTACAGCACCATAAACCTACACTTCTTTGCACTTCAATTACACAATTCAAAAAGAAAAAGCACTTCATTTCCTGAGTTTTCTAAGCCAACTTTTGAGAAGAGAATGTGCTAACTTCAAAATGAAAAACTTACAGGCAGAATTAAGAAGACATCATTTGGATGGTGCCATTTTAGAAAAATGAGTAAACCATGTTATTACTTAGAAATTGTACATCTTGCTTCCTTGTGTGGGAATGGCAGTTTATGCTTCCAACAGAGCAAGCAATCTTCTCAAATCAAAGGCGTCATAAACAAGCATCTAAATCGACAAGCATACACTTCGGGGACCAATGTAAGCACAGAGCCCTGACTCTCCTGTTGTGCTGTCAACACTTTACTTCCTAGATCCCAGAGATGACATCAAAACTACAACCACTTACATAATAAAGTTTGGAAGTTACAAAGCTCAGGGAGTATTGAATCTCGGAGTTTCTACCTGTATTTCAAAATGCAAGACTGAGTTGAATGTTCCTGCTCATGGTCAAAGGGATTCCCAGGAGTGACTGGAAAAAGACAAAATCACGGGAATTACCAACAAAGAACAAACCCAGGCTGACAGAGGCTCTGCCCTCTTTTCTCCATGACTTCGTCCTCGAAATCTACTCCTCTGCTTCCACTGTGCAACACTCAGGGCAGAAACCTAACTCGGTTGTGTTACGGCCAAAGGTGATCCTGAGTGGGGGGATGAAAGGATTGAGAAAAGACAGACAAGAGAATGAAATCTAGGTCTCGGTGGGACGCTGCTCCCTGATGAGGAGACAGCGCCGGCGCCCATAAGCCGTGTCTTTACTTTATAGTAGATGCCACGAGGCCAAGTAGGGGCGTGATCAAGTTGTTTACAGCATTCTCGTGAGTTTCATCCCCACTCAACTACATGCACCTGAACTCTAGCACAAGGCACATGGGGCCACGTGTTTGGACCATAGGTTCAAGCTTACAACCACAGCCGTTGGCTATGATTGCTGGGAGGGCCCCGCCCTCTAGCTGGGACTTGCACATGGCAACGAGAAGACCCTGTCCTTTCATTAGTCCGAGGCTTGAACCTGGCCAAGACACTGTAGCCGAGCCCCACACGGTTGAGCATCAACCTATGAACCAGGAGGTCAGGGTTCAATTCCCAGTCAAGGCACATGCCCAGGTTGCAGGCTCCATCCCCAGTGGGGGGCATGCAGGAGGCAGCTGATCAATGATTCTCTCTCATCGTTAATGTTTCTTTTTTTTTCATGTTTCTATCTTTCTATCCCTCTCTCTTCCTCTCTGAAATCAATAAAAATATATTCTAATCTTACATAATAAAAGGCTAATATGGAAATTGACCAAACAGCAGAACTACCGGTCGCTACGATGCACACTGACCACCAGGGGGCAGACATTCAACACAGGAGCTGCCCCCTGGTGGTCAGTGCACTCCCACAGGGGGGAGCGCCGCTCAGCCAGAAGCCAGGCTCACAGCTGGAGAGCGCAGCAGTGGTGGCGGCAGCAGCGCTAAGGATATGCGACTCATGGTTTAGGCTCCCATGCAGGGAGCAGGCCTAAGCTGTCAGTCGGACATCCCCTGAGGGCCCCCGGACTGCGAGAGGGCATAGGCTGGGCTAAGGGACACACCCCCCCCCCCCCACCCAAGTACACAAATGTCAAGCACCAGGACTCTAGTAAATAAATAAATAAAACTTTTAAAAATCTAACTTCTGATCTTCAGTTGATGAGAAAATGATTTTCATTTTCTTCCTTTTGGGGGGAAAAATTTAAGTTATATAAAAAGAAAGTGACTGTATGCTTTGCTCTGACCTAGTATTATATTGTTCACTCTAAGAAAGTCAGGAGATTTCAACAGATATTAATAAGTTATGCTAAAGCTAGAAATAGATATGAAGCCTGCTTCTGAAACAGTGCAAACAAAAGCTGGGCTCCATGCTATCTCCAATCAGAGATTTTGCTGAAGGCTTATTCCTCCTACAAACAAACATTATTGTTGGGGTACCCTAAATTCTCAGCTGTGTCTAAGTTGAAATCATTGGGCAGTCTGGGGGGAATTTATGCCTTGGTTTAGAAAAATGAAACTCCCCTAGAGAATAAAACAGAGACATAATGGATGTTTTACCTTGTAAGATTTAGCCCAGTTATCAATCAGTAAGTGATATTATTCCACTAGTTTTGACTCTCTATAAATTTCATATTAATCATTTCTCTTATCCTTTTTTTAATTAAAAAGTTCATAGCCACCCTAGCTGGTTTGGCTCAGTGGATAGAGTGTCGGCCTGCGGACTGAAAGGTCCCAGGTTCGATTCCGGTCGAGGGCATGTGCCTGGGTTGCGGGCACGTCCCCAGTGGGAGATGTGCAGGAGGCAGCTGGTCGATGTTTCTCTCTCATCGATGTTTCTAACTCTCTATCTCTCTCCCTTCCTCTCTGTAAAAAATCAATAAAATATATATTAAAAAAAAAAGTTCATAGCCACCCTAGCTGGTTTGGCTCAGTGGATAGAGCGTCGGCCTGCGGACTGAAGGGTCCCAGGTTCAATTCCAGTCAAGGGCACATGCCCGGTTGCAGGCTGGATCCCCAGTGAGGGGCGTGGAGGAGGCAGCAGATCAATGATTCTCTCATCATTGATGTTTCTCTCTCTTTCCCTTTCCCTTCCTCTCTCTGAAATCAATATATATTTAAAGTTCACAGCCTACAATTTGCTACACAGTCTACTGGCGCAAGCTGGTTTGAACCTCACTTCTCTGGGAGCAATTCTTCCAACTGTTCACATATAAAGAGCACCCCCGCCCTG